CCCTAAATACCCTAAATATTGATATAGATTTTGAGGTTTAACCCCTACACAAAGAACTTTATCTCCCATTTACCTCAATGGAATCCATTTTCCCGTGTCATACTCTTTGAAACATGACAACGTCTTACCTGTTTTGGGAATTTAGACCCAATTGAGAGCTTTGTCAACAGAGCAATGGCATAAAGTCCAAACCTCAGAAGTCATCAATTTGCAGATGAATATTTCATCCCCTCAATACTCAAGTATTGAACTCTCTCCAGAGTCGCCATCATCATCTTGGGATGAGCTGGTCTTCGCTATCTTTTGATGCAGCAGAGGAGAATCTTCAATTCAAGATCTTCACTGAGGATGTCCCAAAACCACTGAAAATCGATCTCTCCATGGGTAAACCTAAAGAAGAGAATCTAAAGCAAAAGCAATACATAGGAGTTCGAAGGCGACCATGGGGAAGGTTCGTGGCCGAGATAAGGGATTCGACAAGACACGGAATGAGGGTTTGGCTTGGAACTTTTGATAGTGCTGAGGAGGCTGCTTTGGCTTATGATCAAGCTGCATTTTTGATGCGAGGTCAGTTGGCTCTCCTCAACTTCCCAAAGGAGAGAGTTCAGGAGTCGCTTCGAGACTTGAAGATGAGGTGCAGCTACAAGGATGGGTATTCCCCCGCTGCAGAATTAAAGGAAAAACATAAGATGAGAGGCAAGTCAAGAGGTAGGAGAAAGAAAGGGAAATACCTAAATGCAGTAAATGCCTCATGGATCTCAGAAATTTCTAACAATGTTTTGGCACTTGAAGATTTAGGAGCAGATCTGCTCGATGAGCTCCTGAGTTCATCTGAGGCGCAAGTACTGGATCGTAAATTCCCTCAAACTTCTATTTTATTGACATCCTTCCCACTTCTGATCTTTGTTCATTTGTTTTCACAATCATCATCTGAGAGTAATAAATCAGTACTAGTTCTAGCAGTAAATTCGCATTATTTCTTTTTATTGTTTCTTCTTTTATATCTTCTTGTGCTGCTGCCACTAGTTAATAAAATTTATAATACCTACATCACATATTGTTTTGTCATGAACCCTAATTGGATTGCTAATTTCTTTGTTATATCATCTCCTTTATCATCTGGGAGAACTGCTAGTACGAACTAGGAAATCCGCATCACCGTGGTCATTTTTTATGAAATCCCTATTTTCCAGTTTCTTTTTTCCTTCAATTTCTCTCCCTTAAGCTTAGAGAGAGAGAGAGCATAAACTTGCTCTAATGTGGGTGGAAAATACAAGTTGCAGTGTTTTATTTATTTCAATCAATAATTTCCTCATTCGTTTCCTTGTTCCGTTCAATTTTTTCCAGCATAAACTGTCGTTTTTTTCAGCAAACATAGTTATATTGATTCAATGCAAGCTTTACAGGCAACAATCGTGCCTGTACAAACAGTAGGCAATATGATATGAAGTTATGAACAAAAACCTCTAACACAGGTTATCCGAATTATGACGGAAGTATAGGCCGTGGGCCAATACTTCACCCAATATCCGATGTCACTTACGTTAGGTAACTCCTATGAATACACAATCTTGTGTCATGCTGTGGTTTGACAGCAGGTATAAGTTCCATAGGATGGCCAAAAACAGTAAAAAAGCAAATGTAACAAGTATTTTGGAACATTAGAGTTCTTTTTCCTTAACAAATTCTGGAACTAATCTGATGCAGCTGTCAGGGAGTAAACATTGTTGCACCAGAGCTATTTTGCCTTGAGCTTTAGAATTGCAGGGAAGCCAATATGTCCCTTATGCTTTCCCTAATAACCAACACTGTAGTATAAACATGCTTTAATGTGGACGGAAACTACAATTATGCAATGTGTCAGTAATTTCAATTCAGGAGTTTCCTCTGTAAATTTATTTTCCCCCTTTCATCTCTTCCTTTCCACTTTTCCTTTTTTGTTTCTGTTTTCATATTTATTATGTTATTTGTCTTCTCTCTCTCTCTCTCTTCGGAGGTTTTGGTATTTGTTTTTTATAACCCACTCAACTTGGTCTTTCCGCTTCACCTTTCTAAACAGCAGTGGCATCTTTATCGTATTGTCCATAATCAAGGTGTTTGCACTTGCACAGTTGCATTGCTTATTTGATGTTTCTTTGGCAGGTTGATGATGAAACCTAGTATTAATGGCATCAAACAATGTCCAGAATTTATTTTCAGAGTGCACATAAATTTTCGCGTAACCCATGATCTTTTCATGTGGCTAGGCATAGTTACTACACCTATTAGCACTTATCACCAAATTCAGGCCCTTTGTTAATCTCTTCTCAGAGAAAAACGTTCATGGAGACCGTAATCTGTGAGATTGTATGAGACTTCATCCATGTTTTGTGGGGATCCTACTTCATCTGTATGTAGCAAGCAAAATCGGCAAGTGACCTAAAAACATCTTATTTTAGAAGTGGTGGTTGTTTGACTGGAAATAATTGCTATCCAGGAAGGAAAAGGACTGTGTTTCTTAATATGCCAGATCATTAGGGTGAAGATAATGCCTTTTAAAGGGATTCACCTATATTGTTCTTGTTAGGACAGTGGGTTGAGTATGATGAATGTCAAGAGCAATCTGTGCACTTTGAGGAACATTGTTAAGACACATTATAATCTCACACCTCCTTAATTGTTTGTTGTTGGATGGTAAATTCACCTCCAGGATAAAATAAAGTCGTTGAAACCTGCATTTGGAATGTTTTACCTCAACTTTCCTACGAAATTGTGTAGTTATTTGGAACATTACTAAATAAAAACCGGTTTTCTTTCCAAACTGATGTAGTTGATAGTGTAAGAATGAGAGATTGTTTGTGAATATATGCGAACTTACCGACCTTGTGTGATACACTGATAGTGTATGGGTAGGTGGGTGGGTTTGTATTATATATATATATATATATATATATATATATATATATATATCCATTTACAACCGCTTTATATTTGCTAATTAATGGATGGTTTGATCCCCTTCTAAGCACATATATTGTTGGCAAACTGATTGCATTTTCTTGTTTACAAGGCTTTTCCTGAAAATTGCAGCATAGTAAAATGGATTCTTTTCCATAGTAGTGCATATTAGAATTAATTTATCAAAATCCCAACAATACTTCTGTCTAGCATGTGGTACCACCTGACACTTAGTTGCGCAGAGCTCTTCTATCCATGTTAAGAGAATTAGGAATGAAAAAGCTTGAGATTTTCAATTATAATCTAGGTCCATCTGTGTGATTAAGCCCAAGTGTGAGAGGTTGATATATATAGACACTAGGGTCCCACCCGGGAGGGGTTGGGGTTTGCCCCCACTGACCTTTCAAAAACCAAATATATATATACTCTTAGCAGCCTTGACTTTCTTTAAATTAGCATATTGCCCCCTTTGATTTTTTAGAAATTTTGTATAATGCCTTATCTTTTGGTTATAAGTTAGTAGTTCACTATTGGCCCTCTTGACCAATGAAACAATTATTTTATTTTTGGATTCTTTGAAACAAATGAAATGTAACCTCAACAAATAAAAAAAATGCATTTCTTTGATTTTATACAATGCCCCCATTCTGTTAGAATAGTCATATAGTTGACCTAGTCTCTTTTTTTATAAGTAAAGATTTTCACCTCACTAAAATACGAAGAAATGCAAATTGTAAAGTTTTCAAATCCAAATGGGTGTTTCTGCCTTTTCCAATATATAGTGAAAGGAAATTATTTAGAAACTTAGCATAAATCACAATTTTTGAGATTTGGAAAAATATTATACTTTGCTTTTGATATAATATTGATACGAATTTTAGTTTTTATTTAGTAATTTGAACATGAATCGTAATACATTTATCATGCTTAAATTGACAAATTTTTTATATCGGATGGTGTTTCTTTAATTTCCCCCCCCCCCCCCTCCCCTTCCCCAGAAAAAAAAAAAAAAAGAAAAAGAAAAAGGATCCTAACTTCACCCCAGTTCTGAGCTTCTTTATTTTCAAGTAGTTCCCATCCAGGTATTGTGATTGTCTTCAACGGATGGTGTATTTTTCAATTTTTCATTTGGAGGGTTGTAGTTGTGGTGACAATGGTTGAATTTGTTGTACTTTCTCCACTGAATTGTATTAATCCCAAGGTACTTGAAATTTTTTTTTTTTGGCTATTGTCCAAGGTAGTTGAATTTTATGTACTTTCTCCATTGAAATTGTATCAATCCCAAGGTTTGGGTGTAATCTTTGAGATAAGAAATTATCATATCAACCAACATGACCCAAAAAACCTGAAAATATTCTTTTGTTTGGGAGCGCACTAAAAAAATTAATGAGGAAAAAAAAATCAAACAGTGAATACACAAATTAATGTAGTTTAGAAAAAATTTATCTACGTAAGGAAAGATTAGTTATTTTCACTATATCAGAAGAATAATTTGCAATTAATTTCGCTTTTTGGTGCTATGCTCCTTATATCCTTCGCTTACTTCATGGGTCATTAGACTCTTGGATATCTAGTGAATATGAGTCATCCATTATCTTCAACACAAATACTCAATGTGCTTCATTCCTCTCAAAAAATTATCATTTGAGAGAGGGGGACTTTTCACAGAGAGTTCTATCTTCACAGAAGGAAGATTACTTCTTCCTTAAGTTACGGGGTTGATTTCGTCTGATCCTTGCATACCTCGCTCACAGTGATTTTACATTTTCTTGTAATTGGTTTCGTCTCTTCAAATATACTGTCATATAATAAGGACTACTTGTCAAGAGCTCTGATTACAAAATTCATTGCTTGGTCATGATAAGCTATTTCGTTTATAAAATGTTACAAAATTCTTTATGTGCTTTGCAAAATATATAACCCATATGTGATAGGATTAGATTATAAAGTCTTCTATAACCTAAGTTTTTAAATTAGATAATGTTTTAATATAACCTTTAATTACCGAAAACAAACTCCAATGTTGTAAGAATATTGTAGTGAAATTCTTTTTGTTGCTTTTGTTGTCGTTATGTTTTTGTGGGTGTATAAGAGAGAGAGAGAGAAAATGAGAGAGAGAAAGAGAGCATATTACGCGGTTTGGATTTGAGATATAATTTGGAGACTTATTGGGGACTTAATTGATTAGATTATTAGAGTTATTAGATAGTTAGTCATAATTATTAGGAGTTCACAGTAAATCACCAAATCAAATACAAATATTATTTGTTCCACAAAAAACAGTTGGATGAAGGCCGACAACAATGGAGCTTTAATTTTCGGTCCACAAAAATCACATCAGTGTCAAAATCATGTCAAATTTTGCAAACATGCATTTACTAATGAGAAAAAAATGATCTTGAGAATTGGACTTTAGGACTTGACAACAGTATTGAAAAAAAAAATTTAATATCATATTTTTAATTATTAAATTTGTAATTATTTTATTATATTTGTGGGTAATTTTATTATTATTATGGTATCCAAAAAAAATGGTAAAAATAATTACTACAACATAGTGAAAAAATTATTCATAAATATGATAAAAATATCCATAAAAGTAATACATTTTTTTTTGTACCGAAAAAAGTGGTAAAATTAGTTACCACAAATATGATAAAAATATTTATAAAAGTGATAAATATTTTTGTTATAAAATAATCCACCAAAATTATAAAAACATCTGTTAAAATAATAAAACTTGGAGTTATGATACCGAATTTTTTTCTTCCGCGCCAAAGTCAAGTCTTGGATTTTAAAGACACATAAATGTGTGAAGTTCATGGTGATTAATAAGTTGTTGTCTATTCCTATAAAAGTGGTACTAGGACTTCGACTTAGATTTATTGGTTTTATAAAAAAGATAAATTGAAATTCTACACCTGTTGTTATAAAAGGTTCAAGTTGATTGGTAAGCTCTCATCAACTTCACTAAAAATTAAACCCTCTTAGAGGTTTTGGGTTTATTGTTCTTCTTGAACTCTTGTGACTACAGTAAAATATTAGGTAAAATATGTTCAAAATATATATGTATCTCCTTGTGTGTTCATCACATTTAACTTAATCAACTGAATCTATTCACTGTACCTACCACTTAGATTCTCTTCTTTTCCTTCAATTTCACCCAATTGCGTCTGTTTACTACCCACCTGAGGCAAATATTAGGAAT